AGCTCTTCATGGGTGGGAGTGGCTTGATCTTGCGTCCCGCCCAGCCACCCTTGCGGTGCCATAAGCCACTGTGCGGGCGCCTCCCCAGCCAGCGGTTCCGGCCGGCTTTCCCAATGATCCGCTTGTTGTGGTCAACGTTGGAAACTCGCCCCACGGTGGCCAGGCAGGTCTCCAGCACCTGCCAGAGGAAGAGAGAGGCTGTGAGCAGAAGCGCCCCCGGGGTAGACAGCACCCAGGGTAGGGCTGCCTAGGGAGAGTTCTTGGCCCCTCCTGCCAAGAAGCTCCTCTGCCTGCGCCCACAGCCCCAGCCCCAACAGCTGCGTGTCCTCTCATGGAACCCCTCCGACGTGTGGGAGGCCTGGCAGGCACTGGTCTGCCCCCACTGCACCAGGGCAGGTGCCTCCCACTGCTGGACCCCACCCATGGGATGGGCCAGGCTAGAGAATACAGCTGAGAGAAAGACCAGAGGCTGGGGGCCAGCTGGGTAGGGGAGTCCCCTAACTTAGGGTAGAGCTGAGAGCCAGGCCTCATCCCTCCCTGCCTCAGCTCAGTGGCCTGTCCACACTGGGATACGTATCCAGGGCCAGGTCTCTGCTCCACAGGTCTGAGCCCATACAGCCAGGGCAGATCCAGTCACATTTCATCCTCTGGCTGCTGACATTGCTCAGAGCCCAGGGCAGAGAAGCATCTGCATGCCACCCTCATCCCCCTCGCCCCCCTCTACCTGCATGTGTCTTTTAGAGGGCAGCTGCACGATGGCCGTTCCATTCACCTTCCTCAGCAACACCCCACAGGTCCCTGCAGCACACAAGGAGAGGGCAGGCTAGTTTCTGGCTTCCATTAGCAACAAGTCCCTTGCCAGCAACCTCCTCCCTTAGCAAATGATCCCTTGCCAGCAAACCAGCTGAAGCCCTCTGCAGTGCCTCAGAGAGAAGTGGCTCCATCCCAGATGCACAGAGCCCTCACCTCTTCCCTTGTCACTGAAGGAGGCGGGCGGGAGGGGACAAAGGCACTCGGGATTTTCATACTCACAAGAAGGGAGTGTTCCAGACTCAACGGGTAAGGAACCCCTGCCCCCTGGCCTGGGGCAGGCAGATAGCTTTGGGAAGGGCCCTACGCCCTGGGAGTGCCCTGCTGGGAGCACTGCTCACCCACTGGGACAAGATATTAGCTCCTTCCCCAAGCAGGAGTTGCTGTTTTGGGATGTCAGGCCTCACAACTGAGGCTAGGGGAGAGCTGTATAACCGGCAAAGCAATAGGAAATATTCTCCCCATCCTGGGGCAGAGCTGCCAGAACAGGGACCTTGAACCAAGATGGTGAAGGAGGGCAAAGGCCCAGGATACCAGCCTGGAATCAGCATTGGTTCCCTGGTACCACAGCACCCACAGGTCCTTGCCTCCCCAGGGCTGGGCACCCCCCACCGGTCACCTCAGACCAGCACCCGCAGGTCCCTGCCTCTCCGGAACTGGGCACCCCCCCGCTGGCCACCTCAGACCAGCACCTGCAGATCCCCACCTCCCCGGGGCTGGGCACCCCCCCACCAGTCACCTCAGACCAGCACCCACAGGTCCCTGCCTCTCCGGGACTGGGCACCCCAAGCCGGCCACCTCAGACCAGCACCAAAGCCAGAGGAAGCTGCTCAGTCCCCAACAAGGTGGAGTGAGGGAGAACCTAGGATATAGCCTGCCTGGAGGCAAACCAAACGGATCCAGTCATCTGTCCTCTACTCAACCCCATCCAGGCTGCTCTCCTCGAACTGAGGGACAAGACCAGATCTGCTTTAATGCTGGTTGTGATCCTGGCGAGGGTCCATCTCACCTGCTGCTCGGATGTACTGCGCTCCTTTCCCAGGGTGGCTTTCCAGGTTATTGATCAGGGTCCCCACAGGCAGAGCTCCCAATGGGTATGCATCCCCCTCATTGGCAGAGACTGAAAGACAAAGCCCCATCAGTGTGCTAGCACCAAGTCTGCTGATCACAGCGACTGCAGGGAGGCCTAAATGGGGCTTCTCCAGCTCCCAATCCCAGCAGAAGGCCCCACAGTAACTTCCCACCTGGCCTAACCCCCTCACTCCATGGCGGGGCCAGCACAGGCTCTGACCCTGCAGCACAGACTCCAGGGCAATGTCTTGGTTTGGGTTTTTGCCTCACCCTCAGGACAGGCTCTCACAGCAGGATGAGAACATCTAAAGTTCTCCCAACCATCATTCAACATTTCCCCTCGGAGACTGTTCAACCAACCCCCCTGTATCCCTGCATCAGAGGGTCCCGGCTGGTGTCCCAGAGAGCTGGCTGCACATGGGAGACTGGCTCCTTCCAGCTGACACCGTATCCGAAGCAGCTACAAGTCCCAGTGTAGACGGAGTGATGTGGTGTGACTCTGAGGGAGGGTCTCCATGGAGATGTGCTGCACTAACAGTGAGCTTGAGCAGCTATGCCCCATGGCAGATGCTGTTCTGAAGCTTGCAAGAGGCAGCAGTGCAGCCCCTGCCAAGGGGAGCCAGGCCCTATGCCCTGGGATTCACCCAGAGCAGCTTGCCCAAACTCACCTGCCATCCTGCCTATGTGCCCTGAGGTTTTGAGGAGGTCACCAGGCTGCATGTTTTCTGTCGCAATGATCCAGCGTTTCTGCTTGCCGCCAGCCACCAGGGCGATATCAGCCGACCTGCCTCAGACAAAGAGGAGCTCAGTGAGGGCCCTGGGGCGGGGAGAGCAGCAAGACTACCAGCCTCACACAGCATGAGACAGCTTTACTGTTTACCATGGGCCCCACAGTGCCTCCCACCCCACATAGGGCAGCCAGGCCCATGCACGTCCCCCTCACACCCCAGACACGTCCCCAAGCAAAAACCTGATCCACAGTCCTCACTGCCGCTCACCTGCAGGGGTCGTAGCGGACCTGGATCACCTTCTCCTCGTAGGGGCCGGACTCGGCCCCAGGTACATAGCGCAGTCGCTGGAAGTCAATCATGCGGTAGCGCTGCTTGTGCCCCCCGCCGATCCCATGCACAGCGATACGACCTGCACAGACAGCCAGAGTCAGCCAGCCATCCTTGAGCCGGCTCCATCCACTCCTGGGCCCTGACCCAACTCCTCAGGAAGCAACCACCCCTCAACTCCTTCAGGAGACACTGATTCCCCCCCAGGTGCCAGATGTGCCGTCTCCTGCATCCATCCACACACTTGCTCTGTTTATGGAAGGAAGCATCTGGCCACACCTGGTCATTCTCAGCCCCCAGCGTAGCTTCCTGCAGCTCACTGTCCCAGCATAGCCTAGATGCTAACAATGCACCTGGGCTGCATGCAGGAAGAGTGGGCTCCACAAACAAGACAGAGCCCCGAAAAGCAGACCCTTCCTAGCCCCACGGGATGGACCTTGGGCCATTAACTTCTCTGCTTCCTCTATCACCCCGCAGGTGAACGGGGTCCCTTGAAGGTAACCCTGAAGCCCGTTTTCACCCAGCTACCCCAGTCTGGTGGGTTGCAGGGAATCTGCACTCTAGACATACCTGTGTGATCACGGCCACCTGTCTTTTTCATGCCAATGGGTCTGGTGGTGTATTTGATCCTGCATTTCCACATGGGGTCGTTGGTGGAGAGGGTGGAGGAAGTGCTGAATCCATGGCACGGAGGGAGGAGGTTCCCCCCAAGGCAGACCAGCCTGGGAGCTTGGGCTCTCTGGGAAATCCAAAACAAACGTGCAGCTCTGAGAACAGAGCCCTCCAGCCCCACGTTGGAAGTGACGGGGACTTATACCGGATCTACCAGATGTGGGGCGAGCTTGCCACCAGGTCCCTTACCGAGCCCACCCTACTCCGGCCAGGCTGCACCCACCCACCCTCCTCCTCCCCTCCTAAGGCGGAAGGGCCGCGGGCCGGTACCTGCGGGAGGCTCGGGGCAGAAGACAGCAGCAGGGCCCCTAAGGCCCGAGTCAGGCTCGACACAGCCATTGGGGCAGC